GAAATAAATAATAATTATCAGATATTCCAATCCTTAGAGAGCCCCCCTAGTGGCACAGCGGTATGTCTGCGGACTTATAACGCTAGAAACCGTGTTTCGATACCCGTGGTGGACAGAGCACAGATAGTCCTTTGTGTAGCTTTGTGCATAATTACAAACAAAACAATCCAATTCTTAGAAACATTCTTTGTTGTTATGCAATATAACACTTTAACATTGGTTATAAACGTTCTACTTCAAGAAAACCCTAGCTAAGATGCCAAAAGCGTATAATATTGATGAAAAATAAATAAAACTGTGTAATAGTCTGACAATTATTATTTTTTCTTACAATTTAACTATAGTAGGAGTTTATATGCAATTAACACACCAGATACATTTTTAAAAAGTTATTAATTAAGCGTTTCAGGCAAATAAACTTTTCAAAGCTCCATTTTAATCTGGTTTATTGTCTCTGATGTCTCTACAGGATGATTCAGCAAGGAGACCCTATAACAAATATTGCTCACAGTTGTATCTTTTTGAAACCCTTTCTATCTAATAATATTGTGGTATTCTTTCTAATACCTAAGACACAACAGACCAGATGAGTTCTACTAGATCCAACTGTCATTGTACTTTTAATTCAGTAAAATCACTATAAAAACATAAAAAACAAATTTATTTTATCTAATTGTTTCTCTTTCAACTTTGTGTTTTTACAATGATTTTATTTTATTGTATTAATTTTCCAAATGATTCCTATCATTCGGTTTTAGTCTTACGCCAAGGTCTAAATTTTATCTTTGAAGTTAAAAGACATTCTTGACAAACAAACTTCTGAAGTTAACACTCTCTCGAAGCTGAGGCAAGTATATTCAAATCAGTCACAAAACCTTGCTTAAGAAAGAAAGCACCAAGTTATAATATAAATTATACAGTAGCACTGGAGCATAGCCTGTTGATTATGTCACTCGACTTGCAAGCTGTGGGTCGTGGATTCGAATCCCATCACCTAACATGCTTGCCCTTTCAGCAATGGTAAAAAGTAGCCTAAGAGTAACGTGCGTCGAAAGTTTTTTAAACCTCTACTGAACTATGTAAAAATGAAGTTAGGGGTAGGGAATACGGACGACTTCACCATATGCTAAGGAAGAGATGGATGTAGATAGTACTATTTAATTACTTTAAATACACAGCACTGCTTTACATTTTATAAACTTTGTGCATTCAAATACAAAACACCACAATGAAAAAAAAAATGTTTCGTACGCGCAAACGAGTTTTCCTCCTAATATTCTTTAAATAGGTACAGACAGCCATTTGGTGTTAGTCCAAGTATTCCTTTGCATAGCTTAAAAGCATGAATTTAAAAATTACAAAATAATCCTTATGTTTTGGGAGAACGTCCTTGAAATAGGAAAAAAATTCTTATAACAGATATAAACATGCACCCATTTTTTATTTTCGGATAAATAAGTAAATATGTTTAAAACCTATTTAAAAAACACCAGTTTCGCTAGGTTCACCGAGCATATTCACATTGCAAGCTTTGAATAGAATCAATCATACAACATTTCAAATTGTCACATGTGACAATATCAGTAAGAGACTGGAATGGCCTGTAGTTATGTAGCTCTCAATCTACGTGTCGCGGGATCGAAGCTCGCCATTTCAGTCGTGTAGAAGTTTAACGTGAAGGTCAATCCCACTTTTCATTCATAAAAGAGTAGCCCAACAGTTAGCGGTGGGTGGTGATGTCTAGTTTCCTTCCCACTAGCCTATATTTTTAAAATTAGGGACGGCTAGCGTTAAGTAGTTTAAATTCGTTAGAATATTCACTTTCCAATATTTTTCATGGTAGTTAAGAGATACATAATATGTTTGTGAACTTTAACTCATGCTCACCCAATAAACTTGATAGTAAATAAATCAATTAAATGAAAAGGATATCAACTGAGAAAATGTGCTTAGATAATCCAGTAATGTTATTGGTTAAATATAATGTAATTGTGTGTGTGCAAATAAGTTGCTTCTTTAATAAAATGTTAATAAAAAGAGGCTCAGTATTAAATTCAACAGTATACAGTGTTTCACTAAACTGCAAATTTTTCAAAGAATTGGAAAACTTAAAGCTACCTTTAACTCTAAACTCGTTATTTGCACATTTAAGGATACAATATTCTAAAAACCTGTCAACTTATGATTATAGGTACCAATACTTGAAACTTTGATCTTACAGAACAATATAATTTGTGAATTTTAGGAACACTTTATGCTATTCCAGTATGAAATACAACTGGATTAAGCTCTTAATATTTGCTTTTATATATTTTTTTGTCATCTGTACGAAATTCATTTCTAACAGTTTCTGTCGTAAGCGATGTCGTTAGCATATTTTTTAAAATACTGTGATATTTTTAATTGAAGTTATTAAATCATTACCTTAATCAGGCTTTGTTATGATCAGTAAATGTTTTTAAGTTCACTAAAATTGCATTATTTTTTTTATTAAGATTGTATTTCTGAAATTATAACTACGAAAGGAATACAAAGCATGACTAACATAAGTTCTAATTGTGTGAGAGAATTTTCATCAGTAAAGGGAAATGTGGGTTTAATGCCCTAATTGAGATTATATATAAATCAAGTTGTTATGTTTTGGGTACAGATAAACGTTCTTTTCCTAATATAATTAATCTGAAAAGATATGAAATTAATAATAACATCATCCTGTTTGTTGGTGAAGCGTGATCTGTTAATCGGTAATTTGTGTGAAATTACATCACAATAAGACTTATAATACTTTAAGTAAATCTTTCTTTAATGGTCCTATACCGTAGAGTATTGTGGTATTCTCAGGTTAGCTTATTTTCTCGCAACTAATGGATAGGTCTGCTGAATAACAGCAGGATCGGACAGGAAATGTTTATGGTAATCTAAATTTGAAAACTCGACTGTGTTTTAAGTTGTGTAAAAAATAAACAAACTGGACATGTTTGGAGAAAAGTGAAAACAATCTTTATTATGGACAAAACAAAAATCAGGGTGTGTACTTGCGTAAAACATTGAACAATCGCCTCTTCTGGATCTGTGAATTGAATAATAGCTTTCTTCCCTCATAATGGATGTCGATAAACAAGTAGAATTGAGCTAAGAATAAATGTTCCAATCTGACAAGAAACTTTGTATCCTTTCTCTTCAATAGAATTACCACGACTGGTCACTTTTTTCAGCATTTCCCGGCTGTAGCATATAGACACCACCCACTCAGTCAGTGAAGAACGTTGCAGTTACTGACTCTTTCAACTTGAATCTGTAACGTTAGTGCAACATTCATTCAGTCAGAGTAACTATTATCTGCTATAGAGATCAAAGGCACATAGAAACAGAATAAACGATTTTTTTTATTCATACATTACTAAAAATGGCGGAAAACACATAATATGCTCACATGTCACACTTTATCCATTTTTCCTGTTTCAGGCTTGACCTCACACCAACCGTTAAAATGAAACATAAATCCAATACACTTTAAACTTGCGACACGGTAAAGGAGTGCATTTGCTTTCCTTTGTACCTAGGAACAGTTACATGCCACATAGATGACACAACCCTTTAACACAGAATTACACTTAACTAGAAGATAAAACTCTAACTATAACTGGAAATGTAATACACGACATAAACAAGTAATGATTGAAATAAACATCCTTTTATTTATGACTTGAAACACCGTTACATCATAATTATACCTCAAAATGTAACATAAGAGAACATATTACAATAATAAGATTAACCTTTAACTAAGATTTTCAAATGTGTACAAGACATAGTAAAATAAACATTCTTCGACTGTAATTTGAAATAACATAAATGCAACACAAAAAGAAAATGGTTTAATGATGTAAAATACATGAAATATCCTTTAACAACGAATATATATTTAAAATTATCCTTTAACATAGAAATCCAGTACATGCATATATGAAAATATCCCTTATGACACTTGAAGTTTTTCTCAAAGATACTTATCCTCATTTTGGAGGAAGTAGTCACATACTAAGCAATCAAAAAATGGCATAAGAAATGATTAAAAAAAAAACACTTGACATTGATAATCTGCCCATTTAAGGAAAGGGAACTCTTACATATGATGGCTGAAAGTAAAACAATGAAACAAAACCAAAACGAAAGCCTGTTTTGATATTGCAATATATATATTATAATAAAATAAGATCCTTTTAAATAAAAATAGAAAAAAACAACCTTTGATAATAAACACTTTAAATGCTAAGTTAAAATAAATATCAATAAATTGAAAACCTTTTAAACAATAAAATTGAGTAATAATAATGTGTTTGTTTGTTGTTAAGCAAATAGCTACACAATGGGCTATCTGTGCTGTGCCCACCACGAGTGTCGGAACTCGGCTTTCAGTGGTGTGTAATTCAAATTTACCGCTGAGCCACTTGGAGACAATAACAACCTAAGAAAAGATTAGTTTGGTTTTGAATTTCGCGCAAACCTACACGAGGGCTATCTGCGCTAGTTCTCCCTAATTTAGCAGTAAGAAAATAGAGAGAAGGCAGCTAGTCATCCCCACCATATCTTCATAAGGAATATATATATATATATAAAGAAAAGTAAGAAAGGAACGAATGAATGCCCAATCAGTAATTCAAAATAAACCTTTTAATTAAGAGTTAAATTAAAATACAAGAAATATACGCAATATAAAGTTTAACTTACAACAATATAAATATAAATAAAACACACAACTCATCCAGAATCAGGTCAAGATTTTGCTTCCCACTACCTTAATCCTGCCAGCAGATTCTTCATGGTCACTGTTTCGTGGTTGGCTATTACTGAGATCTTGACATCATCCTGGGCCTTCATAAGGACTCCCTCAGTGTCGACTAGCCTGACTCGCAGGCCCATATCTTGTTTGAGAGGTTGTCCTCCACCTCAGCCAATTCTCCTTTCAGTTTTATAAGGCTTACACTTCTTTCCACTTTGTGGCCATTTCCTGACAGTGACTTTCCAGTGTTAGGTGGTTTTCAATTACCCTAGGTGGCTTTGTTGGGAGTTCCATTCTCAGTATCTTCTGGCCCTGTTCCCTCGGCCCTTTTGTCAGTGGAGCCTCATCCATGAATGATGCATAGGTGCTTCAGTAAATTATTACCATGGAAACCCCTACTGTTAAATTGGATGATCTTTTATTGATTTTAAGTTCCTGATGAAGTGGTAGTGGTGAAGTCGGACAAGGCGACTGGCCCACCTGCATTGCTATGGAGGTTGTTATCACACTTAGAATTGCTGTGTAAGAGTTGTGTAAGAGTTTTTGGCACTAATTCACTCATTTACATTTCAGACTTTATAAAATAACAAATTATTGGCAAAATTAGGGAAAATCAAGACTTTTTTAACTAAAAATCTTAACCAGGATTAAAATTCGTGCTCTCACTACTGTACCTCAGTATACACTGAGAGGAAACACAACTCTCCCTCAGAAGCTATAGAACCAGCAAAATTCCTGGGTAAATAGATGAAAATCTACCGAATACAGGGAAGCATGCGCCATAGAGGTCAAACCACTCAACTAGATTGTAGGATTGATTCTATTGTACCATCAATGATATTTCACATTTAAAAAAAAACAATGGCCACATTGCCCTTTCAATCCCTAATTTTTGAATCACATAACTATCCTAGCTTTGATGATTGAGTAGCAGTTACAAAATTAATTCCATACACTCTACTAGACAACACTACTCTTCTAACTGTCGTAGAGTGAGTGGTAACTCCACAATGTACTGTACCACCTGATATCTTAGAAGTTAAGATTATAATATTTCTAAGGATCAGAATCCTTTTGGTGACGATTCTGAATCTCCCAATCAACGTGCTGTGGAAAGTTATCTCATCAGATCCAGCTCTCTGGCCAGATGAGCTGAATAATGTACAGTGAAGTGTGATTGTAACTAAGGAACCAATACTGTTTGTTTTTTATTTGGCGCAAAGCTACACGAGGGCTATCTGCGCTAGCAGTCCCTAATTTAGTAGTGTAAGACTGGAGGGAAGGCAGCTAGTCATCACCACCAACCAACAACTCTTGGACTACTCTTTTACCAACGAATAGTGGGATTGACCGTCATATTATAACGCCCCCACGGCTAAAAGAGCGAGCATGTTTGGTGGGACGGGGATTCGAACCCGCGACCCTCAAACTGCGAGTCGAGCGCCCTAACTACCTGGCCATGCCGAGCCGGGACCAATACTGTTGATGGGCATTTGGTTTCTTCAAAATAATGAAAAATTTCCTCGTCGCTTCACAAAAGAAAACTATTATTCATATGAAAAGTGTGGAAAAAATGTAAGGACCTGGTTAGTTTACTCCAATTCTTCAAATAGTGTAATATGATTCTGCTGTAAACTGTTCAGCAGAAAAACAAAAGTACTGCTTCTACTATTAATTCACAAAGGTTCCATTCCTGGTAGTACTTGTAAACTGCATTGAAGGACAATGAGTACTCACTGCTGCTTATAACTTATAGGAAGGAGTTGCATAACTTGACTAGACATGCAGATTTTACACTCAGTCTTATGATAATGACTTCAATATGAAGGACATCAATAAATGTGTCCAGAAAAGGCTGTTGGACATCAATAACAAATATAGATGTTTCAAAGTCAACAGTGCACGCCTTGATTTTTTTAATTTTGGATCGACTACATGCCATTTTACTAGCTCAGTGCAGTGTTGGGCAATTTGAAGGAGTATGTGGCTGATTTAACCTTTAAAAGTTTATTAGATATATGTTGGGAAGGCAGAATTGAGGGTGTGAAAGTTTTGTGATACCATCTGTGAGAAGTATGTGATAATTTGAAGACGTTGCACAGATGTGCCACTGACAAGAAAGATGGAGCTACAACCTCGGATAAATCACGCTTGAGCAATAATATTGTTTCGTGGAAGTTAATCACCTCTGTGGTAATTTGTTATGATGTCTTATACCCAGTCAACAGAAAGCAAGTTATTTCAGAGTCCTGAAACAAGCACTGTTATTTCAGAGTTCTGAAACAAGCACTGACGTTCTCCATAAAGAAATTGAAGCCAACTGTATGTTTCTGCAAGAATATAGAGAGAGCAGTTTTGTAAAGACCCAGGGGGGTGGTAGAGAGATTGCTGAAGCTATGGAAGTTAAAAGAGTATTTCCAGAGTAAAGAAGAAGAAAAAATAAAAGAAATGGTGAATTATTTATTACTAACGTAAAGAACAGTCAGATAACATTACTCCTGAGGTCGAGTACCAAAGAAGATTTTTTCCCACTTACTGATGTTGCTCGAAGTGATTTTCTTACATACAAACTTTTTATGATGTCTTTAGCTTTTTATGTTTTATTAACGATGTGAAAATGGACTCAGATCAGAACATCATACAAGTTAGTCGTGTGAGAATTCCAAAAAAGGGGGATATTGACTATAATGATTTATGCTCAGAAGTATAACGTGCAATTAAAGCGCTGCCATGCAATGTCTCTTCACCATTTTAGGTTCTTTATCTTCAAATAAAATTTGGTAGATTTGTATCTAAATTCAATTGTTGCTTTGCAAATACTGTTAATTGTGCCTATAGCAGTTGCCTCGGGTGAAATAACTTTCTCACCTTTGAAGCTGATGAAAAACTATTTGAGGTCTACTATGTCCCAAGAACATGTGAATAGTCTTACTCACATTTCCATCGAGCATGAAGTTGCGAGAGAGGTGCAATATGATAATCTTATCAATGATTTTGCAGCTTCTAAAGCATGCAAAGTGTATTTATAGATATGTATATCCTGAAGAAAGAAAGGGTAAAGTTTCATTCATGTTTAGGTAAAGTAATATTTAGTTGGAGGAGAGGTAGAGTGGTCAAAATGTTAATATGTTCAAATATCAGGCTGGAATTTTTTGAGTTAGTGGCTCCTAGCATAAAAATACATGCAGGAACGATTTTGGTGGAGATCTGTGAAACCAAATATTTTTTCTATTTTTATTGGGTGTTTGAATCATCCTAGGAAGGGGGCCTCCAGCATCGCAGTATTGCATGGGGGATTCAAATGGTTTAAATCTGGCTCTGGCTGGTAGTGATCACATGGAGGTCACTTATGTCATTTTCTTCAATCTGTTAGATTTCTGTTTGCAGATATTAAAGACTTTTATACATACACTTGGAAAATGAGTTATGTACTAACAATGCTTCACTAAAGTGGGGGAAAAGAGGAATCAGGATAGTTTGTGAAATGTTTGAAGCTGAGTACTATATTTCTTGTGTTTCACCCTCACGTCATCTGTTTCTGCGCATGTCACGAGGTTTTAGTGAGTTACATTCAAAATTTAATTAGACTACTTTTTTTTCATGGTACACCAATAATTATAGCATAAAACGTAGCTAGTAATCCCTATATTAAAAGTATATAAGTTTTAAGTTCTTAATTTTATAAGGCAATATAAAAAAAAATCATTAATTCCCCTAGTGTGAGAATTGTGACATTTGCTCTCTAGGTATCCCCTCTTCTCTAATTTATTCAACACCTCTCCAAGAAGTACGAAATGTAATATAAATTACTTTTTACTTTTTATAATATCGTCATAAGTTCTCTATAGTATTTATAACCAATAGAAAGCTAAGGTTTTCCTCTATCAAACAACTATTATATTACATTATTTTTTTTACAGTTCAACCTTATTTCTACGAGAACGCATCGATAAGCTTAGTTGTTTTCTTATCGACTCGTGTCACATAGCTAGAAAGCCAGAAAAATCGTGATAGTTATGAGACATTGTCTCCTTTTGCACGTTATTATTCTGTGTTCTTTTCTGTATTATCTAATTAAATGAAAAATTATTTAGTGCAGCACTTGCCTTAGTATAAAAAAGAGGGTTAAGTGTCATTGATAGTCGACGGCAAGAAAAATAAAGAACCAGGTAAGTACTTTTATCTTGTTTTTCATGCGTATTATTTATTTATTATTATACAACTAATTAAAATGTAAAAACAGGAAACTGTTTATTTTAGTTCAAATTAAATTAGGTGAAATAAATAATAATAAAATAATCAAAAAAATTCACGAGATACACAAGCGAGACGCTCATGCATAATGTAATTCGATAGCATAACGTGAGCTGCACGTTCGCAGAGCGATTTACAACTTATGATGGCGCCAATAGTAATTAGGGTTCAAAGGGCAAATAAAACAATAAAATTTAAGTATAAATAGATATATACTGATATGAGTTTAAAGCTATTTCGGATAAACAAATGTAGCTAAATATTACAATTTGAATTCATTCTAGAAAGAAAGAAAAAAGGTAATTTAGATGTATTTACATTTTTGGTGGTTACGAGGTTAGGGTACAGACAATAACAAATAAAATATAAAGTTTTACTTTAAAAAATGTTAGAAATTTGTTTAGGATGTCTTAGAGATTATACAAATAAAAATTGAGAGTTTTGAGACCAAGAAAAGTATTTTTAATCTCAACGTGGAAATCACTAAGCACTCGGACTAGTATGTAGAAATACTATCTATATTTACCAACAAATCTTTTGTAAAAATACTTCATAAAAATTTGTTTTTGTTTGTGTACAAAAGACTGACAATGTTTACTAAAAGTCTGCCAAATTTTGTGAAGATACACCTAGTGCCCCCCAATGGCACAACGGTATGTCTACGGACTTACAACGCTAGAATCCGGGTTTCGATACCCGTGGTGGGCAGAGCGCAGATAGCCCATTGTGTTGCTTTGTGCTTAACTTCAAACAAACAAACACCAGGTGTATTAAAAGTTATAGTATGGAAGCTATAACGTGTGCAAAAGTGTTTACCAGGTTGGTCAAGTTATTTACAATTTATGTGAAAAAATTACTAGTTAGACACGGTTCAAAGAGCAATAAAACAAAATCAATATAAACAGATGTATGCTGTTACAAGTTATTGAATAGAAACTCAGGTGATTACTTTGTGGTACAAACTCGATCACACCGATCGAGCCTGTAGCAATAGGGTTCACTCTCTCCATCCGTTCATTACTTTGTCTCGTTCCTGCTTCGCTCTTACGCGACATTAAAAAAAAAAAGATATCGTTTCTTTCCGTAAATATTTATTATATCGTCTATTGAACCTTTCCCTTTTCAGAAGCTTACAGTCTAGTAAAAGGTAGCGGGATGGTTTCGGGCCCTCCTGAAAAGATATGAGATGGGACCCTGCCTCACTTCAGGTATTGTGTACTGTTCATAAGAAAACCTAGGCTTCACTTACCCAGATGCCTGGACAAGTTCAGCTCACATTTGAGCGGTAATCTTGTTTTGAATGCAATATTTGATGTAATCTGCTTCCAGTTTCTTGACGATCAAGTCATAGGTGTGGTGGCCATTGAGACGACAGCAAGTAAGAGCTGCATATTCCCTCTTCAGGCTTTCTGGGCCAATCCAATTCACAATTATGCCCTGATAGAATCTGTTAAAGTAAACAATATAAAGTTAAACTAGTAAATGCAAAACGATAGATACACTGTACACGTTCACTGCAGATGCTTTGCTGAAGCTTATTTCAAGTTTCATTTTATTATTAGATGTTTTAAGTTTTAGAAACAACAATCATTTTTATTATCCGTAAAATGAAAAATATTACCAATTTATCACAACTTACCTGTTGATGCAGCTCCAACAGTCAGGTGTGGTCGTGAGTCACTCTACTATGCTAAGCTTCTCTTTAAGTTCATCTTTTTTATGGGCGAATTTATCATTAATTGCACATTTGGCTGTAATGTCTGAATAAGGTTTTTCAAAGCTTGTGATTCAACAAACTTGAAAGGAAGAATTTCCTCAACCACCAAATCAATTACAAGTGTACGTATTTTGCATTGACTAGCCCTCCCAGCACTACCAGCAATGAAGGCTGCAAGAGTTGGTTGTTCTGCTGCATTTTTCCAGTTTTTCTGTTACTAGAAGTTTGAGCCCCTATCTCTCCTACTTCAACCGACCATTTGCTTGACCTGTTTACCTCTGTTCCTCTCTTAATGCACGCTTCAAAATCCATGGAGTTTAAAGGAACGTTTGTAACTAATGTGTTTTTTTCACATTTAAAAGTTATTTCTTATTGGCACTGTAAATATTCGTTTGGGGCAAACACAACTTAAACTGCAACGAAACACTTTGGGATTCACTTGCACTTCCAACAAATTCAAAATAGTATTTATTTAACACCAAGAATGACTGCTTCCACTATTAGAGTTACTGTTAAAAGCTTCTTTGACAGAAAAATCGTCTTTTAACCGGATTCCATTTTATCACATTAGCTAACGTACATGGAGACGCAAACTCGCGCTAAATGTTGCTTTGATGGAATTACCAATAGAAATAAGGAGAAATGACGTCTGGTTGCCATAGAGAACAAGTTCAATCCTGACACAACAAGTCACGACAATCACTGCATCACGTAATACGTTTGATTTTTTTCTTAAACAAAATCAGTGTAAATATAATTATATACAATATATTATACAAAATTATATAATACTATTATATATTATAATAACTATATAACATTATAAATATTTATTATTTTATTAATAACAATGTGTAATATAATATTACAATATATATTACATTTCACGATTTATAATAATATATATGTCTAGGATTTTCTTAGCTAATTATCCGACATGAAATATAAACTGGCTGGTTCATATGAATGAATATAAACAGTAGCCCTTTGCATAGACGAAAAATGGAGCGAAGCTACCTACAATCGCCATGAATTTTCAAATGTAGCGTCATCCACTAGTCACTCCATAAAACATAGCGGCCCTGCGTAGCACGCGCTATTTATAACGGCGCTACGCACTGCTCTGCATTTGGAGCGTGTTCTGTACAACAGAGTAAGAATTTGTTAAAAGTTTTTGCCTGTATTTAAATATGAATATATGTATATGTTATTCTTGGGACCAGGTCCCGTTTTGAGTAATATATTCTTGTAAGCTATATTTTCATTTAAATATTGGCTTGAGGGCGCATGACCTTAGCGTCGAGAAATATCTATTAATTTCTAGACATGAGTACATTATAAATAAAAATAAGCACTGAGTTAATGCGAAAGAATTCGAGTGATTAGAATCCCGGAGTCCGAGTAGTGAATCCGAGTGAAGACACGACTTGGTTAGACGAGTCAATCCAAGGTGTTTTGCGAGATTGGTAGTGAACAATGCCACGAAAAAGTGAACGGGCTAGCAGTCATACTGAGAGAGGAGGGAAGGACGTGGACGACCCTCGACGATGGGTGAATGGGTCGGCCACTTCTGGCCCAGTTAGCGTGTCGCACGACATAGAATTTGATAGAGAATGTGCCGGCAAACGAGTGAGATCCGATTCAGGATCAAGTGTCGAATCCATCGGACACAAAAAATCTACTCCAGATAGAAAACAAATAGTTTTTGTAACATCGCCGGACGTCAATATTGTGAAGGTCAATCCAATGCTTATAAGTAGAGCCCTTAATGATATCATTGGGCCCACTGACAAAATCCAACTTCAAACGGATCGTCTAAAGATCATTTGTTCCTATTCACAATCAAGACTATTGTCTAGCAAAAAAAACCATCTGTGGATATAAAATACGATCCCAGATTCAAGACGTACCCCCACCTTCTGTTAGGGGTATCATTCATGGAGTCCACCTCGACATTACTGAGGAGGGCTGTACAACTATAGAGGGGGTTATAAAGGCAACTAGGATGACTAGATACATCAATGGAACTGAAACTTAAAGAACCTATAGGTTCCATAATACTTCAGTTTTCATTTAAGACCCTCCCTCAGAGAGTCCAACTCGGCTTTTTGTCGTTTCCTGTACAGGAATTTATCCCCCACCCGACAAGGTGCTATAAGTGCCAACGTTACGGTCATACAGCGAACGTGTGCCGCAGGAATGTTC